CTTCAGATTTGATACATCCCAACTTGGTAGAAATTGGGGCAGCATGACTTTTCTTCATCTTAGAACATGAAGCCACAAGGCAGAGACTGCAGAATCACTCTTTCTGTAGTGTGTGAAAGACAGGAAGTGGTGAGCAGCCTGGCAACTGGGAATGAGTCAGATTGCCTTCACTTAGCCAAGATGGTTTGCTTCCACCCTGGTGGATCTACCTTACTGACACATGTGCTTCTTGCTCAAGGTGCTTGTCTGCATTCTGCAATTTTCAGTTTATGGGCTGAGAAGCACACACACAGAAAAAGAGTAAATTGCTAGGGAAGACCCTCTTCCTTCCTTCCTTCCTTCCTTCCTTCCTTCCTTCCTTCCTTCCTTCCTTCCTTGGATTGTTCCAATTATGCTCCATTCCAACACCTCTGAGGGGGCCTAACCCATCTTGGTTCTTCTGAGCAGGTGATCAGGTTCAGATCCAACCACCCTCATGAAGTCAGCAGTCTTAAAGAAAGAGGCCCTTCTGAGAAGGATCACCCTTCTTCTTCTTCTTCAAGTCACTGTCCTTGTTGGAGCCACTGTGCTCTCCTCGGTGTGTCTCTTGCAGCACGTTCCTCCAAGACGTCAAGGGGCACTGATGCAAGGGAGGCTGATTAGTCCAGTGACATGCCCAGTGATCCATTCCCTGCGCTCACCCAGCTGTGTTGGCTGGGTTCTTTCAGCCATGAACTGACCTTTCGTTTCTCACAGAAGGTCTGCCATAAAATCAGAATTGTGCTCACCCACTATGAAATGGTAGCCCAGCCTGACACTAAAGAGATATGATGTCCCATAACGGGTGACCTGAGTGCAGCTTATCTCATCAGCAAGTGGAAGGATGGCTTCCTCATAAAAGGTCTGTGCTTTATGCACAATTCTGAACGGGTGTGTGCATGTGTGTGTAAATAGAGAGAGAAAGGTGCAGCAGTTTTGAGGGTTGCCCTGGATGCAGGTTGGCTCCCTCCCTTTCTTTGTTCATGGTGAGAGTTTAGAAGAGACACAGCAGTCCTGCAGAATAGTAAGCTCATGCTCTGGGTGGAAGCAGCAACATTCCCGTTTTCTCCTCCAAAAGGCAGAGGGAAAAGGGTCCGCTGCCCCTGAAGTGAAATGCAAGGGCCACGTAGAGCAGAGGGAGAAGCGCAGCTCCCTCTCCTGGGGCAGCGGCAGCCGCGGGATCTGTCCCAGGCTCGGCTTTTAGGCCCATCGCTCAGAGGCGGCCAACAGGGGTGGCCGGAAGGGCCTCTGGCTCTTGCGTGGACCCTCCCAACTTCTGCCTCCGGCGAACGACTGAGCAGGCCGCCCTCTGTGGAGCCGCAAAGTCTCACCGCTCGAAGGGTCCTCCATGGAGTGAGGCAGTCTGTGCCTGGGTGCCAGGGAGCTGTTGAGGGGGAGGGAAGCCTTCTTGCTTCTCTACGTAAAGACCCTCAGCCCAGATCCATCTGGGGCCTGTCCGGTGTGAGCCAATTCACTTTAGAGCTCTCCTTAACTTCAATAAAAAGTTGAGGATTAGAACTGGCTTCTCTCCAGGCGCTGATCCTTGAAAGCGACTCCCCCCCACCCCGCCGTCCTTCCTCCTTTTTCTAATTGCTTCCCTTAGGTTGGCTTTTTCACAGCACAGTATGTTGAGGATGGGCGAGGACAGCTTTGGGACAGCTGCTCCCAGAGTCCACTGGCCTTGCGGTGGGTGGCTCAGCTTGTTCCACAACCCGCAGCTCTGCAGGGGTGGCAAGCCCTCTGCAAGTGATGGCTGAGAGCGAAGCACATCATTGCAACCTGTCCCTTCCCACGTAGTGGGAAAGCCCGGAGGGGCTGTCAGGAAGAACAGTGGAGGGAGGGAGAGTGAGCGCGGCAGAGGCTGGGCAGGGCTTGGGCAGGATGGTCTCCAAGGTCCTTTCCGACTTTCGCGCTCTGTGAGTCTCCTACTAAGCATTTCCCTGCAGGACCTAAACTCAAAGCTGTGCTCAGATCTTCTTTTTTTCCTTTTTCTGAAAGGAAAGGGAAGGTCTCTGATTCCCCATCCCAAATCCTAGGTGACACCAGAGGTTCTGGTGGATGAAGTCCCTGGACTTGCTGCCTTCTGGGGCTTTTGGGCTACACCTGAACATGGAGGAAGGGGAGCAAAGTGTTGCTCGGCTTGTTCACCTATTGGGGGTGGGGGAGGGCTGCCTCTGAAATGCTCTGCCCAGCCTCTCCCCACACCCAAAGATATAAAATGGTTGCATAACCAAAGGAGACCTCCCTGTCCTGTCACAGTTTTTAAAAAATCACAGCTCCCCCTGCACAATCTGTGAAGAGCACTCACCGCCCCTCCTCCTTGAAGGACCAGAATGTACCAGAGGGGCCCCTGGGGAAGGGCCCTGCTCAGGAACAGGGATATCGGCTGCCCAGCGGCTCCTGTTGGCTGTGGGACTCAGGAGTTCCAGGTGACATTCCTCAGCCCTGCCCTTTGACTCTCCTCTGGCCCCACTCTTGAATTTCTTGAAGGGCAAAGGAGCAGGGTTTTGGTTCCTGCAGCCCCACATTTTCAAAAGAGATCCATGTTTGCAGTTTAGCACTTTCAAAGATCAGTGTCCAAAGTCATCCAATAGCTGGTGTGCAGGTGGGGTGATGGTGGTGTAGAGTCTCTCTTGCTTCGTAGGCAGCCCCTGAATCCACTATCTTGCTACCGGGCCTTGATGGGGAGTGGGGGTCAACTTTTGGTTCCCACCATCTGCCCATCCCTGGAGGGTGGTGATTGGTGGGTGGACTGCTGCTGGGCTGTGAGGCTGAGAAGGAGAGAGGGCAGCCATGGCTGAGGGCTTAACGGGTGGCCTGGCTTCAGATGCCCCACAGAATCTAAATCAGGACCCCCGTCTGGTGGCCGGTCAGAACAAAAGCAGGGGGGGCGGTCAGCAAAGGTTATCCTGGTAGCGTTTTCTGATTAGTTCCACATTGGTGGAGAGCACGTTATCCCAACTATTAGGCAAGGCCAAAGCGATAGTGCCAAAGATTTTACTTGCTTTTGGAATGGAGGCACCAGAATCCAGAAGCAAAGAGGGCCTGGCAAGGTTCCCAGATGTGGGGACAGCAGAGTCTCTTCACTTCCATAAGAAAGTCCTGGTCTAGGAAGCTTCAAGCCTCATCTTCCCAGTCCCGGAGGAGGAGGAGGAGGAGGAGGAGGAGGAGGAGGAAGAGAACAACAACAATAGTTATAACAATAATAACGATGATGATATCATCTCCAGGAGAGCCAGCTTTTGCTGACAGCTGGTTTCTATTGGGC